AAAAAAAAAAAAAAAAAAAAAAAAAAAAAAAAAAAAAAAAAGAAAGAAAACTAAGTGACTTATTGGACATACAGTATCTGACACATGTTAGGCACTTAGTTAATGCTTGTAACAGTCTCATATTTTTTATAAGTAGCACATATACTCAAAAATTTTTTAGCATTTATATTCAAACCTGAAAGTGGACTTCACATTAAGACACTATGGAGTTTGAAAACTGGCTCACTGAACAGTTCCATCATTAGAATGAATCACCTTCTTATACTTCCAACTCGAAACAAATCTATAAACAAGACTCCCATTATAAATATGCACACACACGTACATTTTAAATTTACCTGTTCTCTGCATTGGTGAGGTTGCCAGTGCACTCATTGACCTCTAGAGGGCACTCACAAGGACATTCACATTCATTTTGCTCCATTCTGAAAAGGAAAAAGAAAGTTACTATGCAGAGGGTTGATAAACTATATATTGTACGTGCACTTAGGGAAATGAAATAAAGACACCATGAGCTAGTTAAAAGGGACAGTAAAAGTTATCACTAAAGGTTTAAATACACAATTGACCTCAATCCATTTTTCTTTGGACAAGGATGCTACGAACAACACAGCTCTAAATGCTTTTGTAACCAGGACTTTCCTTTCCTCTAGGACACACCTGAACACTTCATGCTTATTTTGCAGTTGGCATCAGTTAAAATATTCAGTAGTGTGGTAAACAGAGAATATGACCCGTCCCATTTTTACCGGTGACAGTTGAGACAGAGCCGGTCCACCATGCTACAAGCACAGAAGGCAAGAGAGTCACACGTTTCGTTGACAATGCCGACAAATGCATTGGTTCCCGGGATCCTTGCCAGTCTGTATTTAGAACAGTGACTGCCGTGCACAAGGTTTGTCAAATCCCCCTATAGACAACAGAGTTGTCAGAAGTGACAGACAACAATGCAAAGTTTCAGCTCTACCATCCTGAAAACCACCCTTCAACCAACTGCTGAAAATAGTTCAATCCAACTAAAGCAAGCATCCTTTTCTTCGTTCTATAACAAGAAAATGTGATAGCTGGCTTCATGAAATGTCTACAGTATGTGAAAGCCAAAGATTCTAAAGCAGCATTGTAAAGTTGAGTATGGTCATTTTTTCTGCACGTGTCATATGTAGTAGGCCAATTATTTAAGCCTATGTTAGTTTCCATGCCAGTTATCCCTGATGTGTGCATGGTGAGGATAAGCCTAACCCTGAGAATCATGGCACTGAATGGTTTCTTAAAAGGTCTAGACGAATTCTTTACTGCCTGGAAGATGCCCACCTTTACAATACAAGCAATAACATAGGCTTATCAGCCTGTTAGCTCCAATAACCAGGAATGTTCCAATTCCGTTTTGGAATAACTTGGGCCATTAAGAATTTATTCTAATTCATATTCCACTAAAATTTGCATGTCTGAAAAATTTCTACTGGAATATCCCAGCTTCTCCGCTGAAAACTCAGGAAATCATTGTACAAATGACAGAAGATAACACAGAGTAAGGCAGACTTTCATATGACAACCTTACCTGACAGCCTCCCTCTGATTACACGCATGTTTGTCAATGTCTCCTTTACAGAAAGTGCTCATCAGAATGGGTATGGGGGTTGAACAGAGTAATAATGACTTACCTTGCTTTGAACACACTATCCTATTAATATATTCATCCTTAAAACTCTTCTAGTCCCCTACACAATTGTTTTTACAATCACTTTTTCTGAGACTAAGTTTAGGATTTTCATTTAACCTCTTTTTTTTTTTTTTTTGCGGTACGCGGGCCTCTCACTGTTGTGGCCTCTCCCGTTGCAGAGCACAGGCTCCGGACGCGCAGGCTCAGTGGCCATGGCTCATGGGCCCAGCCACTCCGCGGCATGTGGGATCTTCCCGGACCGGGGCACGAACCCGTGTCCCCTGCATCGGCAGGCGGACTCTCAACCACTTCCCTGGTTGGGGCGCCAACAGGAAAGCCCCAACCTCCTGTTTTTGACTTCAAGCTAATTTTATTTATTTAAAAATTTTTTTATTAGAGTACAGTTGATTTACAATGTTGTGTTAGTTTCAGGTGTACTAACTCAATACATCTTTATGATTATCTTTTTAATAATACATGTAATGATTTGTCAATACATTTATTTCTTGTGAATAACTTTTTGAATGTTGGTTCTGTCATGACCCATTCTCTCTCAGCTAGGATTATTTACAAATTACTAAGTATATCCTTAAGATCTCTAACCATATCCAGGTAAATCTGTAGCATCTCAAATCACAAGAGAGTATTCTAAGCTTTAAAAAAAAAAAAAAGGAATTATTTTGGATGATCTACATAAGAGCTCTCATCTAACAGGGTGGATGACCAAGAACTAACCTAATTTGGCTTTAAGAATTTAGGGAGACTGAGTAATCTCTAGAAGACAGGAAGAGAGGACCACATGGTGCCACATATATTTATACAAGAGTGTGGGAACAGACTTCAGCAGACATTTCAAAGGGCTTAGATTGGGTAAGTCTTGAAACAAACAAAACCAAAGCAAAATACCAACTGTGAAACCTTAAAGCACTCACTTCTCCCTTCAGGGCTTTATATCCCACAACCATCACACTGGGGAGTTGGACTAAGGTCTGTCATGTCCTATCACTCTAATTCCCAGGCAATGAAACAGCCGGTAATAGCTAACATTCAGACACAAACCATGACTCCATTGCAATTCCATAGCTGGATGGGAGAAGAGAAGCGCTGAGGAATCAACTTACCACTAGGCTCGTGTTGAATTTATAAAACCTCTGGACCGTTCTGTCACTGAAGCTGTTGCACAGGTTCTTCTTTACAAAGTTGGGGTGGTTCAGGATGTCATTTGCTACCAGGGGCTCCTACCGAGGCCAAGCAGAACACAAGACAGGTGCCATGTGGTTAGTGAGCCACAGCCCGGTGGAGAACTGGGCTCTAGCTTCGTGACAAATACCTTGTGGGTGATGTGCTGCTGTTCCACGGGTGCATGTCCTTTGGGGTCAATGAGGGTTGGATGTGCCACCAGATAACCCCTGTCCTCCATGATGAAGCACCTATGCCAAGACAACGACATTCCTCATTCACGGAAGCTGCTGTTCTGTGCTTTTGGAGAGCATCTATCTTGCTATAGCCCTGACACAGATTGCATTGATCAGGTTCTCAGTAAATATTCATGGACGAATTGAAGGAAGGCTGGCAGTCAGGTGACAGACACATTAATTCTCAAGGCGCTGGATTACCTAGCATACGGTTTAAGGCGAGAGAGTTACACCTGACTCTGAGGTCACCTACATACTTCGTACAGAATGTGACCACCCAGACTTAGTAAGATGGGCTCGAAGATCTTTTGCAAGAATGAATAAAGTGGGACATTTTTTTCTTTTTTTCTGGGGAGGGAGATTCCGAAAGAAGCAGTCCTGGGTATTTGCAGGCACAAATTTTAGGTAAACCATACAATTTCCTCTTTCAATGACAAACATACCTAAAATACAACGTTCAGAGGACATGCAAAAATATATTTGATGGAAACACTAAATAAGTGAAGCTAGAACTGCTTTAATCAAGACTATATTCTGCTCTATTTTACTTTCCATTCGTCATAACAGTTTGCTGTGAATCCTGCATTTCCCCATTAAGGGCCAATGTGAAATTCAGCAGTGATATGAAGCATGGGCTATGAGTTGGAAATAAAGGTATTTTAAAAAGTGGCCTGTATAAATCAAGGGAATGCCCTTGCTTTGACATGCTCTTTTGAAATTCAGGTGGCAAAGACCTTTGGTTCCATGAGCCTCTTTCTGGGGAAATGTACAAAGGAACAGTCTAAGCATCTGAAAATCTCACAAAGACTTTGGTTTAATAACTAAGTTCACATCAAAAGTACTACCCAAGAGTACCTCCGGTCTTTCTAGCACCCAAGATATGGGAAACCTCTAATTACAGACTCCTAGAGAAACAAGAGCTTTTGGAGAATTCTGTGCCACAGTTACTCTTCCTGTTAGAAGCCAAATCTGTCCATCTATGTCATAAACAGCATGCATCTTAGAAAAAAAAAAGAACAAAAACCTCCTTTATAGAACACCCAGGCAATGGAATCAGTTTCTGACGCTGACTATGACAATGTGCTTGGCATTCAACTGGAGATACCTGACATCTTTTTCTTTGTATTTTGCAGCTAGATAGGATATGGGGTCTCTGAAGGGCTCACCTTATTTTGTTGCCACCATCTTGGTTACAAACTGGTAACAAGTCCATCAGAACCTTGTAGTAGTATCGAAGCGTGAAGTCAATGCCCATCACAGCCACAGTGTGCCCGGAAGACAGCTGTGTACTTCATGTGAAAATGATCAGTGGGAATAAGAGGTGTGTCTTAGTTAAAGGCAAAAGCTATGTTCACTCATAAGGACATCGTATGGTATCAGAAACACATGACTTCTGTTCTCTGCACTTTCCACCCCTGGAGAAACAATTAACTAAATGACTAACTTAGCATAACATGGAGACTTGACAAGAGAAAAATGTAAGATTAAAGCTAGGACTTCCCAAATAAGACTAGCCCAAAACATGGGCAGCTGTGGAATATGGCTAGTCCTCACTATAGATGTTCAGACAATGGGGGGATTATTCTTTGTCAAGAATATGGGGGTGGGGGGGGATAGGCATCAGCTGGGAGGTTTAATGTGTCGCTGTTAGGTTCCTTCCAACAGGGAACCTTTATTTTTCCTTCAATTTTTTTTTCTCTTATTGAGGTATACTTGATTTACAGTGTTGTTAATTTCTGCTGTACAGCAAAGTGATTCAGTTATACATATTTATACATTCTTTAATATCCTGTTCCATTATGGTTTATCATAGGATACTGAATATAGTTCTCTGTGCTATACAGTAAGACCCTGTTGTTTATCCATTCTATATATAAAAGCTTACATCTGCTCACCCCAACCTCCCACTCCATCCCTCCCCCAAACCCCTCCCCCTTGGCAACCACCAGTCTCTAACAATGAAACTTTAGACAAGGAGCCTGAGTGATGTCCTTAGTTATTTCCTTCTTTTTATAGACCATGATAAATCTATAGTTATTAATCTATACATCTCATTTTATAGAGCTCTCAGAGGTTAATTAGTTTTAGGTCATACAAAACTTAGTGAAAACAACGTTTTGTTTTCTTTCTATAACACTAAAGTTGGCTGTACTCAAAACTCAGCTCACATTCTAGAACAAGACTCTCCTGGTTCATAGGCCAGTTCTGTCTCCATTCTAAAATGCTACTCTCAAAAACAGAAGCACCAAGGAAGAGAAAGTTGGGCAATACAACATGATGCTTGCTAGCTTTTTAGCTCTGGAATCAGTCAGATCTGGGGTCAAAACCCGGCCTTGCTGATTTCTATCTATGTGGCTCCTGGGATGCTACTTAACCTATCTAAGCCTCAGTTTTCTTATCTGAAAATGGGGTTAATAATAGCTCAGAAGAAACTTCCCAAAGTAAAGTCTTCTTTGGGAAAATAAAAACTTGGGAGTGAAATTAGCTTTGCTACGTAGACAACTGGTCATTAACAACACTGATACTAACATATTAACTCAACTCACCACTCACCACCCCCATCAAAAAAAAAACAAACCCCCAAAAAACCAGAAAAAACAAACAAACAAACAAACAACAAGAAAAAGGGACCATGACCCATAATGAAATTTCTATCAGAGCTTTGCTGTCAAAGCTGTTTTCGGCATGGGATGGGGGAAGACCATGTTGTGGGATTGCCTTTGAGAGGTTATTGTCTCAATAAGAGCCCCTATTATTACCTAAGTAACTTAAATTCTCCCATGGAAGAACTCCAAGACTCAGTTACCTTATGGGATTTGTGCATATTGTAGAAAAGAATATTTTGCTGAAGTATTAGTCAGAAGAAGTCTAAACTTCTCTTGCTTGTTCAGGAAAGAGTGATGAGTCTAAACAATAGCCATCATTATGATAATAGTAAAGGCTTCCATTTACTGAATGTTCACAATTTATAGGCATTCTGGTAGGCATCTGAATATATCACTTCAATGATTTCTCACAGAAACGTTATAAGGCATTATTTCCAGAAAACTGAAGCTTGGGGAGATTAAGTATTTGGCTAAAGTCACACAGTGAATAACTAGTAGAAGCAGGGATTTAAACTCAGTGCCTTCAACTCCAAAGCATATATTCCTAACCAATAGGGTTTCTGCCTCCTTAGATCTGCATGGTACTCAAGAGTTTCCAAGCAATTTAAAACCATCTACTTAATTTCCTGTGAAGACATCAGAAAGGAATTATAGCTCCTATTTTATAAATGAAAAATTAGGTTTAGAATGGTTAAAAGACTTAAAGAAGATTGATCACTTTTTATTTATGGTTTAGAGACTAAATCTGGTTCTTTCTACAATACTGTAGCTGCCTCAGTGAAAAATACAATTCAGGTTTTGTGGGACAAGTTGATTTTGTTTCTAAAATTCCCCTGTATGACTGCCATCTGCCCCTGTTGAGGATAAATGTGCTGAAGTAAAAGCATATATTATATATTGCCCATGGAAGTCTAGCATTCATATTTTCACCTGCATTTAAAAAATGTACATGGTTACTATAGCAACCCATAAAGAATACCATAGAAAGCTCAAACTAAGCCTACATTTCTCAGCACAACGGTCCATGCTGTTTGCAGCGCTCTGGTGAGATTTTCACTGCCAAAGACTTGTCTAACCAGTCCCTTAATCATTGACCACACTTCATCATCACTACCACGTTATCATCCTCCAAAGAATGCATACCTAGATTCTCAGGCCACTAATAATGCTGATGAAAGAAACTGTTTAACTGATAAGTGAGCACTGAAAAAACCTGTCCTCAAGCTCTCAGCCCAACCGCTTCCGAAAACCAAGGGAGAATTAAGAGTGCTTCACCAACAAGTTGAACGTTAGCTTAAGCTCCCTCTTCTGACCCATTAAAATGCAAGAAATTTAAAGCATGAATAGCATGATAATAAAAATAACTACCATTTATTGGGGATTTGACATTGGCAAGTACAGTGCTAAGCATTTTACATGCATTATCTTTAATTTTCATTATGTTAGTTCAATTTGGGCAGTTACCTCTGTTTTCCATATGAGGCTCAGAGAGTCATGGAACATAATAATAATAAAAGTATTTAACATTTATTGAGCCCTGACCATGGGCCACACACTGTTCTAGGAGCCTCACGTATATTATTTACAGTAATCTTTAAATAATCATTTGAGATAGGCCCTAATATACTTCTTTCACAGGTGAGGAAACCAAGGCAGAAAGGAATTCGTTAATAGTCATACAGACAGTAAATGACAAATCCGCTTTTTCAGAGTGGAATCACATCTTAGGAGGAGGGCACGTTCTCAAGTTGGCACATGAGACCAAAATCACTGGTAGTCATTTGGAAAAAGTACCTCAGCAGAGCCCACCTATGAATATACCCATTAAAGCTATAGTTGCTTTGGTTGAAAACCAGAAGCGTTAATGGACTTGCAGTCTAAACTATGGTGAATGAAATAGATGGCTTTAAATAATAAAAACACGCTCAGCTAAGGAAAATGTTCAAATGACCAAGTCCATGGGACTGCATATTGATTAAGGCAAGAGCAGATACTTATTCCTGAAATATACTCTCATTGAGTGACTGATGGACAGGATTTAAATGGCCATTTAACTCTTGTTAAACTTGAATAGCTAAACTTGTGTGGGCTAAATACACTATAAACAGTAACCAAATAAGGGAATTGAACCCAGGTTTTTTCTAAGGTGAAAGCCCATCATATTTCCATCATGTGTCATTTGGGCTGACACCATAAATATTTATAAATAAACGCAATGAAAATCTTCCACCCATCCAAATTCTAATAAAAACATGTATATGAGCATAAAAATCTGTACCTCTCTGTGACCTCCTCCCCCTGCCCAACAAAAAGAATACTGTGTAGAAGGAAAAGCTAATGGCTCTTGATAATGAGTGGCAGATGGGAGAAGCCGGGTGGAATGTCAAAGCCTAAGTAAGACACACACAGGTAGGTAGGCATTCTCTCCCTGCTCCCCCAGCAACATCTTTAAGAGCCCAATTCCGGCCATGGGCATGTCCTTGTCATCAAACACCAAGGTGACTGCTGCCCCCTCAAAGAAACCACGTTTGTTTACTTTTTCTCAATTGTTTAGAATAGATGGGAGAAATGACAAGTTTTGCTATTCAGACAATAGTAGGTGTATGCCTCACAGACGGCCTGTTAATGAAAAAATTGAAAAAATCTGTTCTAAAAGAATGTTTACTTGGTTATATGTGATGGAGCCAAACAGATACCATGTCCTGAAAAGAAATCAATATTTGGCTGGCATCAGGGCCCTGCCTGCCATGGAGACACAGGTTATGATATTGAAATTCCACACAGCACTGCTTTCCAATTCTTGATTCCAACGTACTAGAGTTAGAAGAATTCTACTGAATGTCAGCCATTTGATATATAATGAGCACTGTGAAAAGCCTAAAGTTAAGCAAGAAAATCTGTCTCCCATAAATTTTAAGGCATCATTACAGATACCAGTCAAAATATGGTCTTTATTGGTTGCTAGGGAAAAACAGCGATTTGTATAATGAAGGGATTAAAACAATGTGTTTGGACTTGCCTCTCTAACCAACATTTCAATGAGATTTGTAGCTTAAATACTGAAACCTCAAAAGCCTGAAATGTAAAGCACCCTAAATATATTTACAGTAATACTGACATTTTATAGCATGCTTGGAAAATCAATTTTCAAAATGCCTTTTCATTCCTCAAGAGAGAGCAAGGACAAAGTAAAAACAGCAACAAAACCATAACAACAACAACAACGAACTCCTATGTAATTCTAAAGAGACCCAAATACAAAAGGAAACAATCTCAAGCCTTGATACATTTTTTTCTTCACTAAAACTACTCTGTTCACGGGAAAACACTCTCTGATAATAATAATTGTCAGGCTCTTGGTACTATTTCTTTGATTGGTTTACGACTGGCATTTCTAGGAACTGCTTTACTGAATCTAACATCTTTCTTTATCTTTTTCATAAGCACCCTCACGGCCACTAACAGGGCTAAGTGCTTTTGACTGACTCGATCACACGATAATCGTGTGAGGTAAGTATTATCCCCATTTTACAGACATCAGGAGGAAGGTCAGGGTATCCAAGATGGCACAGCTAGAGAAGATATTCAAACCCCAGCTTGCCCCACAACAAAGGTCACACTTTTGCCACTAATTCTTGGTGTCTACTATTCTATTCAGATTTTCAAAGTATCCTTAATGTGCTTAAGAAATGAGTAAAAATTAATTGAAATATTACCTGGATGAATGAATTGTATGACTGATGGTCACGACATAGCCAGCTCCTCCAACGTCTAAGTAAGGTCCAGTCAAAGAAATCAAACCTGGATTAGCTACTGCGTGGAGATACCTAATGGAGACCAAAGAAAGTCGTTACTTGAGGGTATGAACAACAACTTTGCATATTTCGAAGAAAAGTGAGCTCTTAACCCTAAAAAAATATTATAAATTGTGCTTATGTTACATTCAAGCTCAAAAGGATTCCTCCCTTTTATGTCTGACTGTAGCATCAGCAACAAGGGGTCAAGAAAAATAAGAAATTCTCTTTAAAAAAGATGCTGAACTCAGTATATATGTGAGCTTTTAATAAGGTCTATAGTAGAGATGTTTTAGAGGCTAAAACAAACATTAACAAATCAAGTAGAAACAAATACAACTGGGCACCTAGAAATGTCCCCTGGATTGGTAAAGGTGGGGGAACAGGCAGTAAAACTAGCAGCCACTCATGAGCGACTCAGTTACTAAGCAGCACAACGCTAGAAATCCTGTTTTCATGCCCAGGTTGCCCTCCTGCTATACCACCTGACTAGTTTTTGCTTTTGAAAATCAGAGTAAAAATAAATCCCAGAAGTAAAAAAGTGTTTTTCAGTTTACATGTGTTCAGTTTTCATAGGTCACATATGAGTTGTCATTTGATGCCATGAGCACATGCAGTGACATTAAGTATACCCACTGGGGACACACTGCATAGAAGATGGGAATCAAACCACTAGGAACTGAAATGGCCAAGTATAAAGTACTTAAGTCTCAAAATTTCAATGAAGAGATAAAAGCATTGTAGACAGAGGAAGCCCACAAAGCTTTTGTTAATATTACATTTAAAAAATGATTCAAAAACATATTTTCACTGTCATGAAAAGTATCTTCTTTAAATATGACTGCCTGAAGTTGCTTTATTGTGTGTACTTATCATGTCTCTTTGGGACTGGGGTGGGGGGAAACCTTTGATAATGGATACCCCTAAAACTCACCATTGTCTCCTAGTGGGATCAAATGCTTTGTCCATGAGGGAACCAGGATAAATTCTGAGGACGCCATTGGGCGTTGCTATGTAACGGCGGACAATGTAAGTGTTCAGGCTACTCATTTCCATTTGTGTCATCCATTCATCTGTGACGTGGCTGGTAGCCATTACTTCATTTCTGACAGAGAACTGGGAAACAAAGGAAGACATAGCAGGGATCCTTTAAGACTCACATGAAAAGAGAGAGGCCTGCTGGCAGAGCTTCCCAAAGCTCTCTTGCAGAGAAGCCAAGCCCAATTACTTCTTAAAAATCTTTCCACAGCAGATGGATACAGCCAAACTTGGTGAAACAAAAGCTTCCTGAAATATAGCCAGTGGATGTGTGATTTACTTAATTGTTCATCCTAGCTAGGCTTTCTGTGTTTAAGAGGAAAGATCCTATAATGCAGCATTAAATACACACCCAGACACACATACAAACACGTGTACACACACGCCCTAAATCTCTTCTTAAACTGCATCATATTTATCTCAACAGACAGTAGGGGCACTTTACTTCATTCCCCTGGGAAAAATGGGGCTGGAAAGTTTCACTGGTCTCTAACTCACACCCCCCTACCAAGAAAGCCCCTAGTGCATCTAAGGCCTGAAAGAGATTCTTCATCTGGCCCATAGGGCTTCTTAATCCATCAGAAGGGTCCTCGCCGGCCAGCCTCCCCTGGGCCACACACTCTGCCTTTCTGGCTCTCCAGCTGAGAGGCACAGATCCAGAGTTCGGCTTCCCACTTCAAAGGTTCCCTACCAGGACCCCCTCCCAGGCCTGTGGAGGGGTGCAACAGAAGCGCAGCCCCGGGACAGCACTCACTTTGAGCCCCGGGTTAGCAATGAGGCGGGTGTTGTCGCTGAGATAGGCTGTGTAGTGTTCCACCATGCGCTTTGTCTCCGGCTGGCTGAGGTGCTCATAGGGGGAGGAAAAGCTGCCAGCAGACAGCATGACGGTTGGACTTTCTGAGAGAGAAGCAAACAAAGCAGGCCTGAGAACACGGAGCCTGCATCTCAGGCCCAAACAAAAGCATGGCTAAGGCTCTGCCCATCTGTCAGCTGTGGTGGCTTAAAAGTCCTCCCTAAGGAAAGCAAAGAACTCCACACTGGAAGGAGCTGGGAAAGAAAAACGTCAGATCCTCTCCCTGCAGGGAGCTTACAGTCCTGAGTGAACCCAAAGAGATACAAGAGCTGAGAATGACAAATAGTCAACACATCTTAGGTCTACATATAATATCCTACACTTAATAGGGTCGAGGAGGCAGCATATGACATGGAGCCAGACTGGGTTGAGCCTGGGCTCCACCATTTCCTGGCTGTGTGATGTTGGGCAAGTTGTAATACATGTGATGCTTTTATCATCTGCAAAGTGGGGGAAATAGCAGCGCCGACCTTATAGAGTTATGGTGTTATATTAGTTAATATACACAAAGCAAATGATTTAATAAATGTAAAGTATTTAGAACAGAGCTTGCACAACTCAAGTGCTTCTGTAAGTGTTAACTCTTATTGTTCACATTAGTATGATTATCGAGGAGGAAGGAAAAATGGAATAGTGGAGTCGACGCAAAAATCAACTAAAAAAATTCTCACAGATGGGGACAGCCAAACATGGCATAAACAAAATCTATGGAAACAACGGAGTAGTTAATATACACATATTTAATTGTTGGTCTTATCTAAGAGGAAAGGCCCAGTTCTCTGTTTACAACAGCAATCCTTGCAATGAATTACATTTTGAAACAAAAACACTACATCTCTGTCTCTGAAATTTTACTCTTCAATCGTAAATTTTTAAAAGCATTAGAAAGCACTAGCACATGTCCTATCTCATTTAAATCCATGGGTCCTTTTCTTTTCCTTTGTTAGTTCTCACTCACAGTGTTTTGTTTCCTTGTGGCCTGGTTATCTCTGACTGGACACTGTACTTAACAAATTTGTAGGAAAGGCTGAGGCTTAACAGGATGGGAATATCTTCCTCTAGAAAGGATATTGCATCTTGTGCTGCACACCAGGATGAGGCAGGAGATGGTAAGGTGGAAACAGTTCCCAATAAGGAGACAGGATACTGGCCTAAGTGCCATACTGGGAGACTTTGGTATTCAACAAGTCCACGATGAGTGAATGCTTGAGGTTCCAAAGACAACTCAGATGACAGGAATCCCATGTCAAGGGCTGATTTAGTTCCAATTCACCTTTACCCTAAAGATATAGTCCTTTGGGACCTCTGCTAAAAGCATGTATGTGTGTGTGGAAGGGAGGAGTTTCCTTGTGAGTCTTCACCTTTTGAGAACCTTGGATTTGATTTTGGCCTCTCTTCCTAGCCCTGAGCAGCTACCTAAAGCACAATTTCACAGTTGTTCCTTCTGTATTGATAAATATGTGCACTGTAAAAGCAGCTTTAGGGGTTGGCTTCCTTCTCTGGGTTCTTATATTCTCCTAGAGTTAGGTCCACTACCGATTAGGTTAGTTCTCTGATACTTTACAAAAAATTTAAAAAAGGTTCCATCCAGGATTTTTGGTTGAATCCAGCAGGATGGGTCAGAATTACCTAGTCTTCCTTTACCAGAAGACAATGCTTCCAGTAATGTTATGTCTCCTTTAACTTTCATATCATCATGGTATAGCTTGGGAGTTATTATTATATGCATATCAAGGAGAAGAAAGCCAGAGGCTTAAAAAAGTTAGGTTGCCTAGCAGTGAATTCATGTGTATATGCTCATGGGGTCCTCCGTGCAAGGATGTGCTAGAGACAGAGGACTGTCCTGGAACTCAGAGAGCTTAAGACCCAATTGGAGAGACAAGGATAAAGAAAAAAGAGGAAAACGACAATACTGGAACAACACAATAATATAAGAAATGTCTCAGGGACAAAAGAGTTGGGCCAGAGGAAGGGAAGGAGACACAACTTGGGGAGTGGGCCTTTCCTGTAGTGACATGGATTGAAGGAGAGAAAAAACCAATATATAGGACCGAAAGCTTTATGGCCAGGAGCTAGACACATAGCTCCAATTTACATAAGATACATAGTACTTATATACATACTTGTGTACTTAATTGCACTGGATGATATACTCTTTTAAAATTCCTCTTTGCCTCTTTGTGTACAAAGAAAGACAATGTCCCCTCCTTCAGCCCTCTTGAAGGGAGCTCTGACGTACATTTAACACCTTGCCTCAAAATCCCCATCATCAATGAAATTAGATGGAAACCACTTATTTGCTGTTGTTTCCCTTATTTTCCATTTCTTTTTAAAAATATTTCAATTATCCTGCTTCATTTTCATTACCAACTGTTACTAAACTTCCCTTGGTGACTTCTCCACACATTGTCCTGGGGGAGTTCTATGGCCAAAGTGAAGTTGGGTGGTACAGTGGAAAGAGCACCCATTGAAAGTCAGACACTGGCATAAGGTCTGTCTGTGTGCCCCAGGATCAGCCCACTAGTCCTATGTAAAGTATGGGAGTTGATAAAGCTCTACGTTTTCTGGGCATCTCTGTGAGGCAGCACTGTCCAGCTGAAATACAATGCAATCCCCAATTGTAATCTAAAGTTTTCCAGTAGCCACATAAAGAAAAGCAAAACCAAAGAGGTTAAATTAATTTTACTAGTATATTTTATAGATGCCAATATATCCAAAACATTATCACTTTAACATGTAATCAATACAAAAAATTAAGTATGTATTTTATACTTACAGTAAATCTCAACTTGGTCTAGTCACATTTTAAGTGCTCAAAAACCACATGTGGCTAGTGCCTACCATACTGGACAGTGTAGCTATGAGCGATTATCCAAAGGAAATAAGAAAATCTAGGCTTGAGTTTTTTTCTCATCAAGAAAAACTGCTGCACTTCACTGTCTCAAATTTAAAAAGAATGACCTTGTAAATCAACTACACTTCAATAAAAAATTTTTTAAAAGAATAAAAAAATAAAAATAGCGAACTCATTTGCACCAGCCATAGTGTAGTAGTGTTTCGCTTGTTCCCACAGTGTCTAAGGGAATCATGCGTATCTTAGCTTTCCTGTAAGCATTTCTTTTTTTTTTTTTTTTAAAGACAACTCTTTTTTTTTTTTTTTTTTTTTTAAAGACAACTCTTTTTTTTTTTCTTTTTTTTGGTTGCATTGGGTCTTCATTGCTACATGTGGGCTTTCTCTAGTTGCGGTGAGCAGGGGCTACTCTTCGTTGCAGTGCGTGGGCTTCTCATTGCGGTGGCTTCTCTTGTTGAGGAGCACGGGCTCTAGGCTCACGGGCTTCAGTAGTCATGGCACGCGGGCTCAGTAGTTATGGCTCCTGGGCTTAGCTGCTCCGCGGCATGTGGGATCTTCCCAGACCAGGGCTCGAACCCGTGTCCCCTGCGTTGGCAGGTGGATCCTTAACCACTGCACTACCAGGGAAGTCCTCTGTAAGCATTTCTTAAAAATATGAATTAAAGGACATACATACTCTTTTGTATAGAAACAGAAGGCACCCCCCCTCCTCACAAACCTAAATTACAACAAACAAACAATGTAAAATCCAAGTTGCCATCCCTGGCCCTCTCCAAGTTGTCCACACCACTGGAGTGTGTCATAGATGAGACTACTTAGGCTGCCTACTCTCTTGATCTCATATCCAGGCAGAAACTCTATAGGATGGAATTCAAAGGAGAAACCCAAACACAACTGCTCTCATTTGGAACCTAGAGACTGGTGACTTCTATCTTTGATCCTCTTCCCACCTGTGCCCCCTCTATTCAGTTTTCCAGTTGTCTAATGATTCTTATTCACTTTTTGAACCCTAAGTATTTCTGAAAAAGAGAATACCTGTTTTAAAGTACTGTGACTACACTGTGATGTACTGACAACATACACCATGGATGCCTAGTATGTGCCTTGCACATGGCAGCATGCAATAAAAGGGGCAAATCAGGCACGGGAGAAGCATGAACCACACCTCAGCCTTGCTACTTTCTGTGTTACTGTGGGAAAGTTATGGATTTCAATAAACTCAAACATCCTCATCTGTAATAGTTCAACTCAGATGATGAATGTAAAGTACCGGGCACAGAACACATGTAAATTCCCTTTTGCTTCCTTTGAATTATTTGCCTATCTCCTGAGCTCTTTTCAAGCAGGGACCTGTGATAGATACAGATATGCTATATAGATATATAGGTGTGCTACCCTTAGACCCTTTACCATTTCTCCAGCTCCTGCCTTGCATCCCTATATCTGTGTGCTTGCCTCTAGTGGGCCATACCTGTCACTCTCTTTGATGGACATTGTTTGGGCTGCTAAAACCTCTTTGTCCAGCACTAGCAGAAAGCTGAAAGTGACTAAGGAATACAAAAGTCCAGCTCCCTTTCTTGAGTCTGGGCGAACTCTGCAATGTAATTTACACTCCAAAGCCCCTCACAGGATTAGGCCGAGGCTGGAATGTCACTTAAAATCAAACTCTCGCTTTGCTTTCTCCTCCTTCCTTATCCTGTTTCCTTCACTTCCTCACTAGTTTCTTCTGAGAGTTCATCCTTAACAAATCACCAATGCACAAATCTTCATCTCAGTGTCTGATGGAGAACCTGATACCAGGCAAGGCCTCAAACCGTTTTTACATTTGCCTCCCCACACTGGCACTGCAGGTATTCAACATCTTAATTCAAACTGATACTCATGGTGAGCTGCTATGAGGAAGACCACAAAGGAAGCTGAGAAGCGCCAGGGCTTTACCTAGCGTGGCCAGCTGTTTGAAGTGGAGGCAAGCGCTAGGCTGGCCCAGGAGGTCCAGCCGGTGGTACAGCAGCTTGCTGCTGGGGACAGTGTTGAGGTTCTTCAGTTGTTTGACAGGTATTTCCGGTTGTATCACCACAATACAGAGAATGAAGGAAGTGTCTTGCACCTGGAAAAATCAAGAAAGAAGTTCTAATACAGGAAATGAAAGTTCCTGGGGATAGCGACTTTGCCTACATTATTTTCTGCTCTCTCTGTCTTCTACTCCACATAGAAAAATATTTGATGAGTGAAGGAAAGACATGGAGATGGGGTAGTAGAAAATGGCTCTAGCAAAAGATTACATTTTCTAATTTTTATTTTCCTTTCTGATCGAGGGAAATTAATGAATGTAACAGAAAATTATGGAGCTAATGAAGGGATCAGAAAATAGTCCCTTTGAAACAGTACCTACCCCTAGTCCTCTTTTGCTTATTTAAGTTAATGGATTCAAGCTGGGACACGGCATAAGAATACAAATCTTACTTCTGTTTGGGTTTGAAATGCATTTTAAAATATACAGTTGGTTTTGAAATGACTGTTCCGAGAATTGACTACTTTAAATGCCAATTATAAATCCATATAACACAGCCCATACAGAATCTGGTTTACTCATTCTCTTCCCAACGAACGCTTTCTTTGCTCTTGGCTGGAGGTGACTAGGATCTCAGACTCATGAAAAGCGCAAATCCTAGAGCTCCCTAGCAAGGCTGGACTGACTTGTCCTTTCAGACAAGGAAAGGCAAGTGTGCTATAGCTTGGCCTCATTTAAGCTCCTATGTAGAGACAGGAGTACTTTCAAATTCACTTTGCTTCTACTAATGGATGCTTGAATAAAATTTGGTGGGAAAAATGACCACTACTGAGTCAAAAGCCAAGTCAACTACTTAGAGTTCCAGCTCCTTGACTTAAAAATACAAGAAAGCCAAACTTCTCTAAGTCCATTATATTAAGAGATGAACAGAATCTATTTAAAAGATGGTTTGTAAATAAATGAAAAGAGTGATAACCAGCTAAGTCAGAACTAAAGATGGTCAGAACCAAAGCAGCTCAAAGGATTTACTTAACGATCAAGGAGAAATTTTTTAACTAGGCAGGTTAGAGTTCAGAGTAATGTAGGATTTATGAGGATGGTTGCAGAACGTTTTTAAACACAGGGGAAATTTGCATCTTCCTGGAATTGCTTTCAAGTACCACTGCCAAGGATATTCAATTAGATTAGCAAACTTAATCCTCTTCCTCCACCCAACAAATTAGAGAGTGACAGTGTTCTGAAGTGGCATTTACTCCTTCCCCTCTTCCCATCTCACACAGTCATCCTTTGAGTTTGTTCCCTGTGTTGCATGTTCTAAGGAACCAAAAGGCAACAACTTTACCAGAATGACCAGAATATAATTCTATAATTGGGTCAATTCTGTAAGAGAGAGAAAAAAAAAAATTACCCTAAGCATCTAAAAGCAACACTTTATAAATAGTTTTTAGCTGGAAAGGAAAACAGATTTCAATACAGGTCTTCCTATTGTGTTCTTAGCTGAAAAAAACAGTCTTTGCAATAAGGAACTATGTATAACGTATCTAGAAGAGCTCTCCATGACTGGGGAGTGGTTTTTTTCACTGACTGTCCATGGGATTCATGTTTTGAAGTGAACCGTGACCGTGTAACACAGGAATATTGCAATACCTTCTGATGGTCAATAGTTCCTTCTGTCACAGCACGGAGCCTCATATGCTCAAAGATGGACTGGGGTTACACAGTGACATAGTAGTAATCTCTTAATACTGCTAACGTAATCTCTCATTTTACCTTTAAATTAATTCAGTGAAAAAATCCACCAGTACCTGCTATATCTACAGATGCTAAGCAGTTTAATCTATTATTGTCAACATAAACTAAATCTATTTAAATTATATTTAGTAGAAGAATCCATTTTATTCCTGAGGACAAGAAGAGTACCTATTCACCCCTCCCTCCAGTGTAACTAAAAAAAGCTTAAAAATACTTATGCTTATTCCTGGGGAACCAGGCAAGCCTTTTTAACTTCAATTTCATTATTTATTACCTCTTTAATTTTTCACTTAATAGTGATGTTCTTAACAATTTCAGAACTCTGAGAAAACTAACACTTCTACCTCAAGTGACTACATGATTATATCCATTTGGCTAAGTAGAGTAGCCAGAATTTACCTGTATGACTGAAGAAAGACCATCTTAAGAAGATAATACTTCTTTCCAAAATGTTAACACTAGGTTTATTTACGGTACAAAGAAGGTCTTAAAATGCCTCCATTTCCTTCTTTCTCTTTTAATGCCAACAAACATTAATATAGATATTTTCCCAGGATGTAACTGTAATTGCTTTCAATCAGGATATACTGTAAGATGATAAGATAAGCAATCTCCAAATTTCAAATATAAAAGTATTCTTCAATTCAGAATTCTGGTGTCTGGCTCACTCTTTCTGATGTGAAAAATTAAGCAATTAGACTTTATTTAAAAATTGTATAATTGTAAAAATAAGGGCAGATGGTGCAATCATTCTCAAAAAAATTCCTGAAAATGAGCTGACTCAGGGAGTTTCAAAATAGACTTTGACCTTTTTCAAATCTGCATTATCAGTAAAATATCAGTAGAATTAGGCTTGTAAACGTGTTTCTCAATTGGTTTCATTATTTTGTTTAATTTCATTTCCATTTTAGAAATTACCCTTGCCACATGATGCTTTAAAAACCAAACAGAAAGGTCAGAGGAGAGTCACGTCTGAAGGTGTGTTGGCTGCTCCTAATTCCTGTCATTCCTATGCAGACACTGTACAGAGTTGTTGAATTCTCTGCTTCTACCACTAAGCTGGATGCTCTATGAGGGCAGAGGCAATATCATTCTTCTTTATTCTTCTTAGTTCATAGTCAATGTTCAACAAGCAGTTTTTAAATGAATGAATAAACAGATCCATTTGGAGTCAACAACAGGTAAAGTAAAACAGCAGATGTGGTCCTTCAAGAGAATCTCAAGTATGACTGCATTTTAAGTTTAATGATTAATATTTGATGATAAAAGAAATCAAAGTCCACTATTCTTTTAGTCAATTACAGTATTTAGGGCCCCATAATAGCATTATTATGCTATGCTTGGAAGAGGGACTAAAGGACAAAAACACAAGTAAGATGGACAGTGTGTGTCAGATTCTATCTCTATGATTCTTCAAGGCCTAGTATCTGAACGAGGCTAGTGAAAGAAAGCTGAAGTGCGTGCCACAGGTACAGCTACACTGTCAATCTGCTTGTGACACGTGGGAATAATCCACATTCTAATCTAAACCTTTCTTTTCCTTGGCATCAACAGAGGACACTTATGGTTTCATATCTCCTTTTCAACTCCCAACTTCCGCAATATGAGTTGAAAATGATAAAAACAAAACTGGACACAATCTAAATGTGTATTAACAGGCGACTGTTAAAAGAAATTTGACCTGTCTATGTAATGCAGTACTACAGAGCCATTAAAGTTGTGTGCACACGCACATACACACACAGAGATACATGCCTGCATGTGAATAATCATTTTCTGGAAAATGATCTAAGTGGTTACCTCTTGGAGACAGGAGGTAAAAGTCAGGAGGGGAAAGGGCAGAGGTCACTTTTTTATTTTTTATATGGCTTGATTTATTCATCATGAACAATGACTGGTTTTATAAACAAAAAAGGAACAAAATATATAAAATTTCTGTGGAATCTCTTTTTTTTTCCAATCACTTTAAAAGGGATTAGTAACCTTTATCAGACCGATGTTCCCTACAATTCCCGTACGAGGAAGAACGCAGTACCCCACAGCTCCTCAGGCAAAGGAGGCTTCCTCTCACTCACCATCTTCCAGGCATAGCTAACGTTGTAGGCCTCCTTTCCAGTTTCTCTCAGCTTGTTTATGTGCCAGGACAGGGATGAGTTCACAGGGACTGCGATAATCTGGCTGCCCAGAGGGAGGCTGCGTTGGCAAACAGAATGCAATACTTCAGGTAAAGGATAAAATAAAGCACTTAATTAAAGGCAGGGAAGATGCTGTGAGTCAATGACCACCTCCTGATTTTGAAAAGCAATGAAGCTCATCACTTCTGAAAGAGATAATGTGAGGTTTTCAACTTTGTAAAAGCATTCTGTCAGCTCTGCACCAAAAACATTCCTTACTCTCTACCCTGTCCCCCAGTTGTAATTCTTTCCAGAGACCAATTTGTCTCAAATCACTCAGTCATTAATTTACAACCAGTGAGCACAAAGACCCATTTCTCTACAGGTCACCATCTGCCAAAATAATGTATCACGGTGGGAAAAAAAATCCAATCTGTTCCTTATTTCAAGAGAAAAGGTTGTATATGATTGTGCTGTCAACTTGGAATGGACGCTACTTTGCCAAGCTATTTTTTGGCATGCTCTGGAGCTGGTCCTCAACTTAACCCTCTTACTTTGCCAAAATTTTTCCACTTGATATAACTGGAGCATTTTAAAAAATGAGATAAGATATATCTGATTTTACAACTAAAGGCAACATGAACATAAGAATTTGATTTACAAGACATTTCCCCCAAATAATAGTTCTGAGAGATCTTACCTGTTTTACAAAGTAAACAAAATTTTGGCTACGATTCTTATATTAAAAATTACACTTTTGATACCATTAAAATAATTTGTGCACTTGTTTTATATCCTATTATAAACACTCGTATTTGACCTCAATGGATCCTATTCTCAGAGAAAAACAAAATACTACGACCCTCATCTTTTCCTTACCTTAGGATATTTTGCCGAACCAACTCAAATTTGGGGATATTTTCATAATGGATGATATCAGTATGAAGGGGGGGGTCCGATAGTAAATATGGCCTGGTAAGAGATGGATGCATAAGTGTATACCCTGAAATAAGAAAACAAAAACGCATGCTATGAGAAACATGTTGTAGGAAGTACTGATTCTGATAAAAGTGCCCATCACAAGTTTGAAATACGGGATACTCTGGGATGGCTGCCCGACACTCAATTTCTCAGTCTGTAACTCACCAGTCCAATAAAAAACTGAACTTATTTTATGTGTTCTTGCATAAAACTCTGGAAGTGTAGCAAGACACCTTAAATTATCGGACATCTGCCTCATCAAGAGTATTTTTGAGGTACTGGTCATTTGGTTTTCGTTTCATAAAATATTCTAATCTATCACATAAACTTTAATGCCAGTAAATGTAAAGAAAACAATATAGACCAAAAAAGGATCCAAAGGATCACATCCTATGTATCATTCAATCCTCAAGTCTAATTTCCTGATGTTACAAAATAACTGTTACCTATCTCTCAACACAACACAGAAACAAATGCATCATTTTTAGATTCATTCTGCCATCATTGAGGTGTTCTATGAAATATGAGTAGTCCTAGTCACACAGTTTTTCTGCAAATACTCTCATTTTCCTACTTTGTTAGTATCAGAATGTCTAGATGATTTTCTCCAAGATGCTAAAGAAATCATTCTTTTCTATGATTAGATTTTAGCAGATTACCTTTGTCATCTATGAGAAAAGTATAGGAAGCCAAAGAATCTTGGTAATATGTCACATCTTCAAGGATGTAAGCCAAGTTCACATCCACTCCTACAATTCCCAGAAGGAGGTTTCCAAAATAACAGGGTTTACTCACAGTCATTATCAAACCTGTGGGTTAAAAACAAAAAATATTCAAAGGATGGCAGAAAAGGCACCGAACAAAGGTTGGCGCTGTACTCTAGGGAACTGTGGAGGCTAATATCAGACGTCTCAATTTGCTCTGAAGAAAAGTTTTCTGTGTGATACAGTAACCAAGCACTGCCTTTGCAGACAGCATAAGGGACTTAGAGTGTGAGGAAAATTGACTCTTTTGGGGGTTCAGATATCTTGGTTAGCTTAAATGGAGGGAATTTGTATATTTTGCACTATTTTTTCACCTAAAAGGATATGCTATTCCAGATCACTGCAAAACATCAGGAACACTTAATACACATCATTCTACTTCCTGAAGTGAGGATGATTCAGTTGAATTTGAAAGACCACTGGACAAAGAATCTAAAATTCTGGGTTCTAGCCCAGCTGTGCCTCTTATGTATCATACATGTGACACTGGACATAACTTTGAGCCTTGGCCTTCATGTCTGTTTAAAGGACACAGTAGTGACTGCCTTACTAATTTCTAGGGGTTGTTAAATGAAAGAGATTACGGATAAAGGAAAGCTTAGAAGGTACTATATTTATTAATGAATCCTATCAAAAAACAGGAAGATGATGAGAAAAAAAAACCTAGAAAGGTACAGAATCTTATTATCTGACCACTTAGAAGGAGACACTAAGGTTCTAAAGGAATGTATTTCTAGTCACTTGGGCCAGGAGTTTGTAAATTTTATGTAAAGGGTCAGATAGTTGATATTTTAAGCATTGTGAGCCATATATCCTCTGTTGCATATACCTTTTTGTTTCTTTTCCAACAAAGCTTTAAATATATAAAAACCATTCTTAGCTCACGGGCCACAGAAAAACAACAGGATAATTAGGGAAAGGGAAAAGCCAAGGGGAGGATGACGTACAGAAGGAGAGGGCATGAATAGCGGTCAGTGTGTGGCCTCAAGCCTCAGGCCAGCTGGGCTGTCCTTCCAGTTCTGCTGCTGGGCTGGCCAAGTTGTTCCACCTCTCTGAATGCATCACTTTATGTATCACATGGGGAGCTGAGACAAAGTGACCTCTAGGACCCCAGCAATTCTATAACCCTATGGCTCTAAATGAAACTTAGAACAAAAAGATGGATCGTTTCTCTCCATCTTGCTCTTGTATTTTCTTGCACTTGATGACTCGTCCATGCTTTTGCAGCACATCAGAAAGCCTTTCTTCTATCAACACCAGGAAAGGGATTTGGATCTCTGACGTCTTCTACAGAGAGAATCATGTCTGATGTCCACTCCAAGTATTACTGAGCTGTTGTGATTGCAAAGGCCAATTAAATGCATCACTTGGTAGGAGGAAGTGGATGCAACAGTGAAAAACCTTGTGAAAAGTTATGCCCTGTTACAAGATAAGTAAGTTCGGGGATGTACAGCACAGGGACTATAGTTAACAATACAGCATTGCATATTTGAAAGTTGCTGAGAGTAGATCTTAAAAGTTCTCAACACAAGAAACAAATTATTACTATGTGAGGTGGTTGGTATTAACTAAGCTTACTGGGGTCATTATTCTGCAATATATACATATAACAAATCATTATGTTGTACACCTAAAACTAATGCTATGTTGTATGTCAATTACATCTCAGTAAGACAAGAAAAAAGAAAAGTTATGCAATGGGTGTCTATTATAATTTCAAAAGCATTCTTTAAGTAGTCAACATTTAGAATGCTGTCTATTGGTTTTAAAACATTTAAAAAATAATAAGTAACTAAGAAGGTTTTAAAAATGCATTTTGGAGGAGGTTTTTACTCAGGTTTCCCTGGACAAAGGGGTTACAGGTGATGCGAGCAGCGCTGTGAGGGTCAGCAGGGAGACAGAGGTCACAGTCTGCACACCACATTCCCCTGGGCTTTGGTCTAAGATTAAAGCCATTTTCATAGAGTAGTAAAGTACAACAGAAATACTCGGAGACCACATGCTCACTTCAAAATTCTATTCTCCTCTGGACATACTGAGAGCAAGCCTGATAAAAGAAACGCAGTCTTACTTCTCAATTAGCAATTTGGACAGAAGACTCTTTATCCCATTGTGGCAAATAAAGTATGCTAAGCTCTTCCTACACTTAATGAAATACCCATACGCCCTCCCTGCTTTAATTTAAAGCACACAGACTTGCATTTTAAAAGAAATATGTGCAGTGACTGATATTTGAATCTGTGGAGGTTTTGAATTAGAGCCACGTAAACCTGAGTTTCCCTAGACTCAGGGTCCCCTTGTCATGGAGCTAGAGGAGGTGTCACCCAGTAATTCTAGGGACTGAAGATACAAAGATGAAAATGACACACTCAAGTAGGGGAATGCAGCAGACCTGTAAACCAATCACTGAAACTCACTGCATAGGAGTCATAAAACAGGCCCTAAGGACTACACTTTGGAAAGCATCAGCTTTGCACATAATTTAATTTAAAGCATTCATGGTAGCTCTCTGGATGGTAGAGTAATTTTCAGAAAAGGTCCTACTCTGCCTGATACCACTAATGGTAAGAGAATTTGACAGCATAATCCTCTGTGCCTGTACAGGACTCAGTTTCTACATCTGTCTCAGTTCCTTTCACACAGAATTATCATGATTCATTGATCTGTTTTTCTCTTATCAGATTAAAATGCTTGTTGAGGGTGAGATATGTGCCTTGTCCATCACTGCCTGACACAATGCTTGACTGGCACTCAGTGACGTTGGTTAACGCATTAAGGTCACTCGCATTTAAGACTTGACATCTCCCTACAAAAGGAAATAACTTTATCTAAAGGGGGGAGTTTCCATTCTATACACATCTGTTGGCCCTGCCAGAACTAGGAAGGATAAAAAGATTGAGGTTAGCAGTAGCTACCATATTTCTTCCTTATAGAAAGAACATGTCTACCTAGTTTCTAGAAAACACAGGCTCTATAAGGCTTATTACTTTTTATACATGAGTTTTCTCTGAATATCTATTTGTGAAAATTCCTAGTTAATGGAACATAAAAACAAGATCTCATATGGTGATGCTGTCTGTCTAGCAATTAGCTGCCTCTTCAAGCTTCTCTATCAAGAAGGAAGAGAGGGAAGGATGTGGGGGGAAAAGATAAGCAAGAATATGAGGGGGAAAAGAAAAAAAGCTGTATTTTTAGTGAGCACATACTGTTGCCCTGGCATTGTTCTAGGTGCTTTACATATACTAGTGCATTTCATCTTCACAACTACTTTGACGGAAATATGATTTTTTTCTACTTTAAAGACCAAAAGTTTAATCATGTGAAGGTTAAACACTTTACCCAACATCGTATTATGGGTAACTTGTGACATCAGGATAGTGATAACAATAATAGTAATAACAACAAAAGTAAAAAATAAATAAACAGCAGTCATCATTATTGAGAGGTATGCTGGGCAGTAATATAATCTTATAAACCTAATAACTCAAAGACGTATTATATGAAAGATGTCATTACGTTTTGAACAGATAACCAGATGTGAATTAACAGGATTAAATACATTACCAAGAACAACAGCATAAGTGGTAGAGTGGGATTTGAAATCCTCTCCATGTCAAGCCTGTATCTATTTGATGACACTGTGTTGCCTTGCCTTTGAGGCCGAATTCCAAGCACTTCTGACTTTTATTTACCATCTGCTATGCAAAGTTACTCTTTAGTTCCAAAATCCCTAACCTTTAGATATTGGGGAATCCTCACAAAGCTTCCCTAGTAGATGTACCCATTATGTTGACTGAGGCTAGGGCAATGAGGAAAAAATAGGGCTGGGGATTTCTGCTCTAGAATACAGTGCTAACTGGACCAATGGCAGGAGGCTACACAATCCTCTGACCAGAGAAAGTGATGCCCACTCCCTTGCCTGCCCACACTCCCTAATGCTCACATGGTAAGTATTGAACAACATTTAAAAGTTACTGTTTGACTCCTGCCCATTTCTTTCCCCCTTCCTTTAGTAGGAAGTTTTCTCCAAACTCACCATCTCCCATCTCATCAGAGAAGGGGAGGCTAAAGACAGCTTCATCAATCATCCGGTTGGGAAGGTTGGTATAGAACCTGCCAACTGTGGTCTCCAGGTTACTCAGCTGGTTCAGCACCATCATGCTGCCCTTAATCACAGGCAAGGCTGTCCGGTCCAGCACGCCATACTTCCCTGAGTTCTGTTCAGCAAGATCTCTCAGAAAAGCCAGCTCTTTCAAACCAGTCACCCCATCTAAAATAAAAAGCCAAGGGAAGACAAAGTAAAACAAAACAGTGGATATCCATATAATAACTTTGCCATTTAGATCTAATAAGGGTCTGGACGAGGTCTTGCAATGCCAAGGGGGTCTTTGCAGAGACAGTGTGGACTCAGGACACAGATACCAGTTCCTGCTTA